GAAATAATTCAGTCTGGAAAAGCTGCATATTCTGTTTCCAACTATATAGAATTCTGGGGAAGAACCCATAGAGACAGTAAATAATAATAATAATAATAATAATAAAATAAATCACTGGATACCAGGAGTTCCAGGAAAAGAAAAGAGGGATTAATAGGTGAATCATAGGTAATGATGACCCTACCTGAAACCATTCTGTAATGGTAATAAATGGCATTATGCATTTGTCAAAACCCATAAAACTGGACTACACAGAGTGAACTGTAATACAAACTCTGGATTTTAGTTAATCGTAGTGTATCAGTACAATCGTAGTATATCAGTATCATTATAACAAATGTACCACACCAATGTAAGATGTTATTTAAAAAAGAAAACTGGGGGTGAATCAAGGGAGTCTGGGAACATTCTGTACTATCCCTTCATTTTTTTATGATAATCTAAAACTAATCTAAATAATATCTTAATTTTAAAAAAAACTGGCAATATTGTTTCAAGGAAGAAATGTTTCGGCTAATATTGAATTACCAGCTATATATCTAAACATTAACTTTGAGATGTTGTTTACTACTAAAAGTGAACAAAACAAGGTCCCACCCTCCAAAATTGTTCATTCACCCTTGTAACTCTGCTATGGCCACATGAGGAATTCTGAAGAAAGCCTCAGCTATTTTGTTGAATCAATGCTGATTTAAACATAGATGGACCTCCCACATAGCCACAAGCTCCAAGTTGTTGCTAGAACTGAAAGAAACCAAAAGGAAATGTTCAAAATTCCCCCCAAAGAATGAACCCTCCCTCTGCCCAAATTGTCCTGATAGGAAAAAAAAAAACAAAAAACTCCATCCCTCCTGGGCAGAATGGGAAGTCATTTTGTGATGCACAAAAGGTATTGGCTGGGGGAATGTTTTCTAATTTTTAAGAGTTCCTTTTAATTTGTATTAAGAAGGTCTTTCTCTGGGAGGGAAAAAGCCACAGTCCTGCCTCACACAGCTCAGGATACTCCTCCTTTGGCCTCAGCATTTGGGGTTGGAGATACTATTTGTGGAATGAGGCTGAGGAAATGAGCCAAAATGAATTTCAGGCTTGCCAGAGCTTACAATCTTAATGTAAATTCAACAATTAGCAATGCCTCAGCTGTGAAAGCTGGAAAAAAAATTCCACACGTCAGATGGTGAGCAAGGCTGGCTGGGAAAATGACTTCCATTTGAATGTTGTTATCCTGTCATCACCTAACTCGGCTCTAACCTTGAAAGCAGACCGGAACCCTCTTGGTTATAAATTCACCAAGATGGCTCCAGAAAGGTTCCCTCTATGTGAATCCAAAATAGAACTATCAAGTCAGAGAAAGCCAAAAGTAGGGAAAGAGTTTTAAAATATAGGATATAAAAGACTGACTGTATCAGCTTCAAAAACTGCCTTAAAGTGGACGTCATTGAATCCAAGAGGATCCAATTAATTAAGACATTTACAAAATCAACAGGTCTGAGTGTCCTTGTCAATTCCAGGTAGTCAGCAGATATTATTCTGTGCTAAGCCATTTTTCTTTTCCTCTTGAGATGTGTGAAGGAGCAGAAAATAGATATACATTATACACCTTGTGGTCAAATAATACCCCCACAAAAAAATGAGGATCCCCTTGCCTTACTTCCTCACCTTGGTCTTCTAAAGAGAAGGAAAAATTGGAAGTGTAGCTGTGCATATGAATATTTTCAGCAGTTCTAAGGGACAGAATATATTGATATGGGAATTTGAGGGGAAAGGCCTAACATTCTAAACACTTCTCATGCTCTACACAATCATATATTCTTTGAGGGGTTTTCCCCTAATGTTTCCCCCCATTTCCATTGTAACACTGTAGTCGACTGAAGATGATGCTTTAGGAACATCCTCAAAACGAAGAACCAGGTTCCATTCATTTAATTTTTTTAATAAAATGTCTTCCAAAGTTTTTTCATCAAACTATTGCCTCCAAAGCTCAGCCTGATAAAGAAATTCTGGGTAAAGGTAGTTTATTTGGGCAGTTATCCCAAGAAGCAAGGTGTAGCTCTGGGAGGCCAGACAGTGAAGGGAGGAAGGCAAATAAAGTGCATTAATGAACAAGTTACCTCTGTGAGCAAGCGTGCCACCATCCATATCGCAGCCCAGAATGGGACCAACAAGGGACATTGACACGCTGCTATGGTTTGAATGTTCCCACCAAAACTCATGTTGAAATTTAGTCTCCATTGCAAGGGGACTAAAGACAGTGGAAACTTAGTCCCAATTATGGTATTTGCAGGTAGGACCCTGGAGTGAGACGTAAGGTTAAATGAAGCCATAAAGCGGGGGACCTAATCCAATGAGACAATGGCTTCAAAAATAGAGAAAAGACTAGGAAGTTGTCTGCCCATATGATGCCCTGCTCTGTTTCAGGACTTTGCAGAGTCCTCACCAACAAGAAGGATTTCACCAGATGCAGCTTCTGATCTCCTAGCTTTCAGAACAGTGAACTGGCTGGGAGCAGTGGCACATACAGCGACTCAGGAGGCTGAAGCAGGAGGATCCAGTGCACAGCCAGTATCAGCAACTCAGTGAGGCTCTAAGCAACTTAGTGAGACCCTGCCTCAAAAGTTAAAAAAAATTTTAAAAAATAAAATTTTAAAAAATAAAATAAAGAGGGCTAGGAATGTGGTTCAGTGGTTAAGCATCTCTGGGTTCAACTGTTGGTACCAAAAAAAAAAAAAAAAAAAAGAACTGTGAACCCAATAAACCACTACCCTTTATAAATTGCTCAGCCTGTCTTACTCAGTGTCCGTCATTGTTTGAGAGCCACTTCTGAGGTTTCTGTTTCCCAGAGCTTCAGGCCTGAACAATGCGCAGGCAGAGATCACTCCTATAGCCGGAGAACATCATCTGGCAGAAAGATCCAGATCTCTCTTGAGGGAGAGAGAGTCCTCTGTGTGAATGGGAATTACCCATGAAAGATGCAAGTGACGCTCAAGAGGACTGGGGGGCATAGGCAGGGTTCCCACAACCTCATATGCCCCCAATGCTCAGCTACACACACAGTAGGTAGTTGGACTTATTGAATTGGTACTCAACTATTCTCTCTTCTTTTCTAACTGAATTATGATCCCTATTTGTATCTTTTCACAGATAGAACCTTTAACCCAATCATTCATTTACACATCTTTAAATCCATACAAAAAGAGCTTCCTGTCTCCATTCGGCAAACACTTGTTTTGAACCCAATTATCTCAGAGCTCTTTTGCCTCTTACACACTGTCAAGGCAATTTACTTCAAATGAGCAAAGAGCTTCAGCTCATGGCCCTCGCTTTTGAATCTCAGAAAAAGAAACTGGGATATCTTTCTCAACCATAAGGCTATATCAAGGGTTTTTTTTTTCCCCCAGAAGTTTTAAAAATGTTTAATTATTTCAGATTCACATTATTACTTTCTACATCTTCCATTTACATAATTAAAAAACAAACATGTCCCTCTATATTAGCCTCTTATCCAATCAGCCAATATGAGGGCATATATTTCATCACAGCAAACTCTGTTGGTTGTGTACATAAATCACAATGGCTTAATTAGGATGGCGCTTGTACAGAAGTCCATATAGAACTAGAAAAAAAAATTCCAAAAAAAACAAAAAAATGCAAGCTACCACCCAGAAATTCATTTTTATTTTCCATTTGAGATATTGACTATTGATTTTTCTTTATCTTACAGTATCATCCTCTATTTAAAACCTAAATGATTTTTAGAGACTGTAACATTTTATCAATCCTCAAAAGATTTTTTCCACCTGACAGCGACGTTTACAACATAACTGGCATATGTAAGAATTTGGTGCTATATGTGTGTGTTGAGGATTCGGGGACACCATTTCTCACATTGTCTCATGGCCAAAGTACTACATTTTCTTACAGGCTCGAGAAATTGCCTTATGGCTATTGATGGGAGCATACTGTGGTGTCTCCTGTCTGATTCACATTTGTAATGACCCTGCTTTTGGACTGCAGCAATAAAGAGGACATAATCCTTAAGTAGGTCTCAGAGGAACACCACTAATTTAAGTGGCAGGCCTCAATCTTAGGTGAAGATTTAATAAGAATCACATGCAGTACAAAATGTGCCCGGCATCTGACAGCAGATAGATCCATAAAAGCAGAAGAATTCCTTCTGTGAACAAGATAGATATAGACTTTCGAAACTGTCAGGGATGACCCTAATAGATAACTGGGGAAACAGGGAGGAGGAATAGGAAAGAAAAAAAAATAATAAGAACGACAACCGGTGCAGCAAATATCAATCCATTATATACTTTCTGGTAATTTCTGAATGTTCCTCCAAAGAAAAGCAGGACATGGATAATTTATGTACCTATTGAAAGCAATCTTCTAAGCATGAATGGCTGAAGGATTATAATTTCTTTCCCCCCAATCATTATGGGTCTCCCAGAGGTCATACAAATAACCTGCGTCCTTTCATCCTAAACACCACGGAGCTCAGGTTGAGATATGAGTCTATTAAAATTCAGTTTAAAGAAGAATTTTATTTTGCTGATGATCTCATTTATTAATTGCTGGCTGCCTTTTAAAACCTTCAGTGGAAGACAAAGAGACCTTCAAATCCTTTCTCTGAGAGCCAAAGCTTTTCATTTAAGGATTCCAGATGAGCTGTTTTTAAGTATTGAAGTTCAAGTGCTTTAACCACCAAAGAAAATGAAAGGAATTTTATCCAGTTTTGTTCCACAATTGCCACCCAGTAGTTCTTCATTCCGGGCCAAATTGAGCCTCAATTTAAATTAGATTTACCCATGGGACCCCTGGCAATCACAATCAACACAAGATATTAGGGAGTGTAGGAAACAGGTCTATTAAATGACAATTAAAACTGTCAGCCTTCCAGAGCCTATTTTCTGCTAATTTGATCCCAAGTAGACAGTTGGATTTGACATGCTGTAAATAAAAAAAGGTTGGTTTAAAAAAAGAAGTGAAGAACAAAACCGGGGGGGTAAACCCCGGTAATGGCTCCTTCTTCACTTTAAGGTGGCTTCAGATGTTCCCCTGAATGAGCAACTTCGAAACTACCTCCTACACAGCTGGGTAAGTCCTCCTGGAAGTCCTAATGCTCAACAAAGAAGAACTCAGAGGCACCTTCCAGAGATGTCAGCAAGGAGGTACTGGGTACTGAATGGTTTTTCCTTTTTGTGGGAAGCCTCATGGAAACTATTTAGGATTAGATGCTCCCTATCTGGGGGTGGAAGGAGGGGTGAATAGAAAAGAGCATTTCACACCTAGAATGTGGCTGAAATTGGTTATCAAAAGTCCAGATCTGCTGGGTGTGATGGTATATACCTGTAGTCCCAGCTATTCTGGAGGCTGAGGCAGGAATATCACTGGAGCCCAGGAGTTTGAGGCTAGCCTGGGCAGCAAAGGGAGATCTCATTAAAAAAAAAAAAAATGAAAGAGACAGAGAAAGAGAGAGAGGGAGGGAGGAAGGGAGAGAGAGAGGAAAGGAGGGAAGGAGGAAGATCTAGAACTGGGTGTGTAGCTTAGAGCTAGAATGCTTGCCCAGCATGTGTGAGGTTCTGGGTGGATCTCTAGCACAACAACAACAAAAAAATGTTAAGTTATCTATACCCTTTGATACAGTATTTTCACTGCCAGGGATTAAAGAAGTAATCAGTGCTTGTGCAAAGATTCATAAATAAAGAATATTTGCTACAGGTTCAGATGTGGGCAAGAAGCTAATTTTTGTATGCCACTACTCCCTCCTTATTCTCCTGAACTCTCCCCAAGTCTCACACCTCCTCTTTTCACCATGAAAATCTCTTCAGTACCATTGTCCTCACAGGTATTTACCTGCAGAGCTGTGTTTCCCATAGGCAGAAATCTTCTAAGATCTGAGCCTGTCTCCATTAACGTCCCCCTGTAGGGCTGGGGATAGCCCAGTGGTAGAATGCTTGCCTAGCATGCACAAGACCCCAGATGGATCCCAGAAAAACAAAACAAAACCCCAGTACGTCTCTCACATACTTAGGTTCAAGCCTCTTCAGTTTTCCAGGTTTGGAAAATCAAATACATTCTCATAATGGAGGTGTTCATAGATTAATGTTCCCCCTACTATGTACTATTTTGTATTTTAAAATGAGATTTTTCTGGAAGACTTTCAATCAAAAATGAGACTGAAATGAAAATTTCAGGCTCCACATAAATAAAGGAGTTAGAACTTTTGTTGTTTCCAATTCTTTCTTTAAAGATAAATTTAGCATCTGTATGCCTATGTGTGTGTTTCTTAGTTTATTTGTTGTTTCGTTATGAAAAGATATTCATGATTATGGAAAATGTAGGAAACAAAAAGTGAAAGGAAGACAGAATTCATCCATATTCCCACAACAGAGCATTTTTAACCTCCTATTGCATTCCCTTCTAGTATTAGTAATGTGCACAAATTTTTGTTTATTTTCTGGAGTCCTGATAATACCATATGTACAATTTTGCACTACTTTTTCATTTTTCATGTTTATTGAAATGTCAGAATAATTTTACCCTAGGAAGGCTTTCTATGGGGCCACAATTTATAGTAGCTTTTCCCTTTCCTCACTCATCTGTTTATCTGCTAAGAATATCTTCAAAGTTTGCCTAGTCTTTCTGGATTTTTTATCCAACCCAGTTTCTAGATTAATTGGAAATACTCAACATATCTAGCAGTAAGTAAATTTCTCCCCATAAAAGCACTAAAATCCATTTCTGAAACAGGGAAAGGACTGGTGTATGTTAAAACAATGTGGGTGCAATGATGAACAGCAGAAGAAATACTAGTAGGAGGTCAAGGTCAAGGTCATTGTCTGCCACAAGCTAAGACTATTCACTCCCACCACTCTCTTCCCTTGACCATTTAGGAGAGTGGGCTGCTGCCCACACAAGGACTAGTCTCTGTTCTGCTGTTCCTTTGGACATCACAGGGAGCCCCTAAGATAACACCCATGGGCTACAGAAATGGTGTTCTCACAGGGCCCTGAGGAAGGCTCATGGCTACCACCAAAAATATATCTTCCCTCTCCTCTCTCATACTTTCTATATTCAGAACAACATAGGCACAACTTAGCCACACCCATGTCCTTGGCTCACAGACTAAAGATGTGAGGGTAGGGTGGGGAATTTTTATGGTTATTTATGACTTGATAAAATGACATTCACATTTCCATCTGGGCTATTTTTTCCTTAGATATCTACTGACCTCTTGGCTTAATGCTAGTACTCACCTTGTTAACCCTACTTGGTAACTGATAGTCATTTCCTCAGAAGTCTCAGATCACATGCAGAAGGTAGAGCCAAATGTTTCTGAAGACAACAAGTTGGGAATGTTTAATATTTTTGGAATCAGACCAATTATGTGTTTTGAATAACATTCAAAGACAACATTAAAAAAGTAAAGATGACGGGAAGAGGTGGAATAGAGAAAATATGTAGGCCTCATCAGATGTATTTAATTTTGAAATAGGATGTCTGATACAGTTAAAATTTGCCCAACCTTGCTATAAATGTTGGTCTGTATTAAACATGTTATAGGGAACCTTTTGTTCTTCATGAGCCAAAAGACCATCCATAGTGCAGACTTAATAATGTTTAATGGTAATTAATAAACACTGAGGAGGACTATCCAGTTTCCACACACTAATAAGTCTGATGATCTATCCTGAGATGTGAAAGGAGCTAAATTCATAGTGCATGGCAGCCTGTGTGTTTGCCATCTTTCAAATGGGATTCTAAGCAGCCTAGTAAAAAGACCAGGGGAAATGGCTACTTTTTTCCTCTCTGGGGAAAGCTAGTGAAATGCCCAGAGCTGCTTCCCAAAAGAGATTCAGGGAGCTGAGGGGTGGGATCCAAAGGAAGCCAGAGCTTTATTGGGAAGGCCTGGCAGTGATGGCTATGTGAGTCATTCAATTGGACATCATTATTTTTATTGATCTGCAGTCCAGGTCTATTCAGTATTCTAATGAAAATAGATGAAGCTGGTAACTAAATCAGAATAAAAAGGCGGATGGAGCTGAAATGGTTGAAAATACATTCTTTTCCCAATAAATGACCTGACAGACACATTTCAGTTGAGTGAAACGAATAGCATATTTCTTTTTCTTTTTCCATTTGGTCCAAGATGTCCAGAAAGTGACATAGAATCTTTATTTTTTTAAAAGAAACAATTGTTGTTCCATTTCATTATTTAGAGATGTACTGAGTCGTGTTTTCCTGCTTCTATAGGTTTTGCTCCTTGCGGAGGCCCCTGTTAGAGACACCCCTGCACAACTCCCAGGTGAATGGATCATTTTGACACTCTCGTTACTCGTTATTTTATAGAATCATTTGACCCCTTCAATTTTGTAAAAGTGATGCACTTGAGTATTTTACCAAAACCCACAAAAATTCAAAATAAAATGATATACTAAAAATGCATGAAGAGATGCCCGAAATCCTTTTTTAAAATTACCGAGAAACCAGAGATTTAGAGGAATTATTTGAATAAAATAAAAGAATACTATTTTCTGGTTTAAAGTTGGCATGCTTTAACGCTGAAAAATAGAACAAAGTCGATAGGTTATGAGGCACTGTCATTGACCTCTTTAATGGTAGAGTGTATTCCATGTTGCCCCTTCCCAAAGAGCCAATGACTGAGCAGAGAAAAGCCAGCCTCTAGTCATGGGCTGGAGACTTCAAAGGGGGCCATCCTCTGGCTTCTCTTTGTATGCACTGGTTCCCAGCAGGAACCATGCTATGGATTTTTCAGTCTCTGAAAGAACATCCACTCAGTTCTTCATATTCAGTGAATTGGGTTCTTCTTCTCCTTCTTGAATCTATTAGACACTATCCCTTAGTGAAAACCATGCAGCAGCAAAAGCACAAAGACAAGGATAGATGCATTTGTTGTGTACAATATAGATAGCATTGCTTCTGTAAGATTCCAAGCCTCATCTGGATTATACCTTAATCCTTTTCAACACTGGGCCTTAATTTTCATACTGTGGTTTCAGTTCAAAAGGTTCTTAGGCCAAACTCAGGCCACCAAAACTCCAGCACCCAATCTGGGGATGTGTATCCCACAGAGCACTTTTGGAAGTCAGAACTGTTTTACTCACATTTTCATATCTGTGATTGGCATATAGTAGGTCCCAGTGAGTACTACAGAAGAACAGAGGAGGAAAGAAAGGGGGAAGGGAGATAGGGATCTGGATCTAGACATGAAGAATAAGTATGCAGGCACTTCATTCAATTACTTTTTTAAAACATCTTTGTTCATGTTCCATACATTGGATTTTTTTCATTCGGGGAAATAATCTAAGAAATTACCAAAGATCACAAATTACAATATTGATATCAGTAAAATAAATACCAATGGTAACAATGACAAAGTGAGATTTGGACACTAGAACTCTTTATTCTCATCCAGACATTCTTATCTTATGTCTTTCAAAAAATAAGACAGTCTTACTAACATTTTTCAATTGCAAAATTCCAAAGATGTGAGTAAGAATGGTGGGAAACAGTAAGATTCTATAGTCTTGAAGTCTCTTTCTACAACATACTTGTTAAGTACAAAGGGGAAAATGGGGCCTTCCTCAGAAGACATCATCTTAACTGGGATCAATGTCAACCTCACTAGCCGTGGGATGTTGACATCCGTACCCCTGAAACCATGCCCCGAACAGAGCACCGCATCACTATTGCCAAAAACACATAATCTGAATCTGACCATGAGGAAAATGCAAAGGAACCCAAACTGAAGGACATTTTTCAAAGTAACTACTACTTTTCAAAAATGTCAAGGTCATAAAAAATATGAAAATACTCAGAAATTGTTCCATATTGGGGAGATTAAGAGGTTAGGGCCAACTAAGAGGTCAGGATTGGATCCTAGATCAGTAAAAGGATGTTCGTAGGATAATTGGGGAAAAAAAATGAGTATTTCAGTAAGAACTTAAGAGTAGCTAATAGTATCCTATTATGTTAATTCCCCGGTTTTGATCATTATAGGAAGATGATGTAAGATGCTAACTTACATTTGAGAAACTGGGTGAAGGGTATATCAGAATTCTTTGGGCTATTTTACTACTTTCTCTTAAAATCTGGAATGATTTCAAATGAGAATTTAATTTTTTTTTTTACATAAAATTTTTTTTAAAGATATTGAATTTCAGTCGTTATCTGTGAGCATGTGAAGCATTTTGAGAAAAAAAAGGTAACTAAAAACTGCAAAGTTGCTGGCATTGCCTTTAGGTCGGTGGGTAACTTGAGCATTTTGACATTCCAATTAAAGAGACACACACAGAGCAGAAAGACAGACTAAGCTGGCACTCCCACACTGACAAGGCATTTCAAAGACAACCAGGGTTTCCTCTTAGAGCCACGTCAAGGAGGCCATCCCTTCCCTGTCATTGCCACATGTGTGCTACCAGATTCAAAGGCAGGCTTTACTCTGGTTGGGTCAGGCTGCTAATGAAGCAAAGGGCATGCATTGGACTTGTTCTCAGGGACTGTGACTGTTGACTGTCCCTTGGCATTTCCCTGATCACAAGAGAGGCAGGTGTGATGATTTGACTGCATCCACGCAAGACCAGCCCTTCTGTGGGAAAATAACTAAAGCACTCACCATCCTGCAGTCACCTTTAAACATAATGGACACACTTGAAGAGAATCACTGTCACCTAAACATGCTGCTAAAAATAACTGCACCAGGAAAGGGCCCTCTTATTAGATTCCTTTTCTCTCCTGCACTTATAATTAGGAGACCTGAAAGGGATGAGGCTGATTTGTCTCCACATAAGCCACAAATGCACAGAAGCTCCAGAGAGCTATGTGGCCTTCTGCTGAAGTGTGCGGGGCCTTTGAAGCCTGCAAGCTCTGATTTAATATCACTTAGGCGGACACCAAAGAACATGAAGAATGAGGCTCCTCGCCTTGCTCCTGACAGTTTAGACATGTTCCAGCTTTCATATTCCAAAAAAATTCATTCAGAGGGGGCTTCTTTCATAAAGATTGTTCCCGTGAGTCTCATGTGTTTACTAGGAGCTTCCCTGACATACTTGGGATTCCAAAGTGGGAGGTGAACACATGTCAGAAAATTCTCAATTCCAAATATCAGGATATTTTAGAGCCAAAAGCAGCTAAGGAATTAGAAGAGGCTTCAACATATGATTAATTTTGGAATCATAAACAAACAGCAAAGTGGAAATAAAATTATTTATGGGTTGAAATAAAAAACAAGTTAGCCAGCTTCACTTACTTCCCCCTATAGTTAGAAAAATTAAATTTATGCTACATGAAAAGTTATCCCCTTGAGATTCTTTCAATATGAGCATTCGTAAATGTAAAATGGCAGGGTGTCTTCATGCATCCTGTGCTGCTATAACAGAATATCCAAGACTGGGTAATTTATAATCAACAGAGACTTATTTGGCTCACAGTTCTGCAGCCTGGGAAGTCCCACAGCATGGCACTAGTAACTAGTCAGCATCTTTGTGCTACATCATAACATGGCAGAAGATGGATGGGCAAGAGAGTAGGAAAGAACAAAAGGAGACCAAACTTACTTCAAATCCACTCTTTTTTTTTAATATTTTTTTAAGAGAGAGAGAGAATTTTTTTTAATATTTATTTTTTAGTCTTTCGGTGGACACAACATCTTTGTTTGTATGTGGTGCTGAGGATCGAACCCGGGCCGCACACATGCCAGACAAGCGTGCTACCGCTTGAGCCACATCCCCAGACCTCAAGTTCACTCTTACAACAATGCACTTCTGGGATAAAACATTATTCAAAAGGGCAGAGCTCTCTTAGTTCCCCCCAAACTACTGCATTGAGGACTAAGTTTCCTTGTAGAGCACATTCAGACCCTAGCACTGGGTAACAGCAAAATGCCTATGAGCAGCAACACTGCCCATCTCTCCACTTTCTCCTCTGAGCTATGGATTTTCAGGTCCTCCTTAGCATTTACTGAACACGATGAGGATTAAAACCAAACAAAAAAAACAAAGAAAATTTTTTTAAAAATCTCTCTTGCTTCAACTGATATCAGTGCATTCAATAGATCTCAGGGAAATGATCTGTTTTGCTAGGTTGAGAGTAGTAGGAAGCTCCTAATGATAACACAAATAAAATAAAAACTAGAAACACGTTCTCCATCTAAAATTTGTGAAACCACATTCCACCTCTGCTGAGTAAAGCCAAATACAGCTACAGAAATCAATGTTAGAAAAACCAACAACTGTGGAATAGGAGGGAAGTAAAAATCCCCCAGGACTCTGGAATCACTGGGTTGTAAATATTCTTAAACTCAGGCTTATAAGACAAAGATGCCAGCCCATATTATACTAAAATGGTTCTGTCATTTTCAGATGAAGCAATTCACATTTGACCACTCCAGCTTCATCTAGGTTTTCCCAAGGGCAAACTCTAATAGACATCTCCATGTTCCTTTTTTATAGGATTTTACTGTCCAAAGAATAGACTAATTTTACATTTCTATCACCAGGTTCCTTTATCAGCTCTATTCTAAACATAAGGAGCAAATAGTCTGAATTATATCTCATTCTGGAAATACTTATTGAACTCTATCTCACTACCCACACACATTTTGCAAGGAAAGGTAGGAGGATATTACCTTTAGCAGACTGGTGCATGAAATAATACACAACAACATCCTACCTCTAAGAAAAGCAGGGATTATAATGGGAAATTACCCCCTAATGAGGGCCCAGTTCCCTTTACCTTAGACTGAGCCTAAGAGGACATATGCAGAATCACATCTACTGCTTGAAAATCAGACCAAAAAAAAGCAGTGAGGACCCCATCCAGGGACTGAGCACCTGAGTAGCTCTCTTGACCCGGTTTATAGACACTTCATGGGAATCATGAAGAATTTCTCTTCACAGTTTGGTCAGCACATTTGCACACATTATCTCATTGAATATAAAGAGCATAGTTGCCAATTTTTGATGACAAAGTTGAGACTCAGAGGCCAAGGTGACCATAGTGACACAGCCAGGGCCTGGAGGACTATGCACACATTACTTAGTGTTGGAATCAAGTTGAGTCCCAGGTAAGAGTTTGTTCTAGATCAACACCTTTCAACCACAGGCATGCATTGTCTAAATAGTGTCAGTGTTGGTGGGTGCCAGCACTTTCAATCTCCTCTCTTTCCCTCTCAAAATCCACAAAGTACTCGTTTGTTCAACGAGCCCCTATTAATCATATTAAAATGTCACCTCAAACTGAATGCAAAATGTCCTTTGCATCCTAAATTGTCATCTTAATGATATAATGGCTCCAATGATGATAGAAATGATTTTAAAACTTTTTTTTCTTTAACCATGAGGCTTCCCAGCTAAGAGCTCACATACAGACACAAGTACACACAAGCAGATACACACAAGTTTTGATAAAACCGGCTACAGGCTGAGACCACCGATTCAATCTGTAATCTGAGTTAACAAATTCTCTAATGCCCAAATACTCAGGGAGCCGCCTATCCACCAGCTAGCTGTGTGCAAAGATCACTCAATGACACATTGCTTCTTTCCTTCTGGAATGAAGCCCAGACCTGGCGGATGCCTGGAGGATCCCAGACCCTCCTCCTGCCTCTGCCTGTGCACATATATACCAGGATCCCCACAGAATCTGATTCCCAGGATAAGCTCCTAAGCACCTATAGCATTATAAAGCTCACCTGATGACTATTTTTAGGGAAAGTTGTACCTCTCCAAAAAGAGAAACGACCCCCTCTCCTGCTCTGTCAACAGGCTTCACAAACCCTTCGGCATGATCTTGACACACCCACTAAAGAGACCAAGAACCTACCAGAAAATATCTGAACATACTGCAGCTGAGAAAGGGGGCTTCTCTAAGCTTCCCTTGCTTTAACACAAGACTGCTCTGTGAATTCAGCCACCAGTGAGGGAGGGAGAAGACAAGCCTCAGCACCCAGGTGTGAAAATTCAGCTGTCATAAATCCTCCTGAGGGAGCTTCCAGCCAGAAAGGAGAATGACCATTACCACCCAGATGAGAGATTCTGTCAACAAACCTTGTCAGAACATCCCATACTTTCCCAACTTCACCACCCACTTATTTATTATGCAAAGTCTTACTGACTATTTTGAATGCTCCTGCATGCTGGAGGAAAGTAAAATTCCTTCCCCTGCCCATCCTAGGTTCTCTAAATGAGTCCCTGTAACACACACTGGCCAAAGACAGGTTAACCAGAGAAAATCCACCCAAAGTTTATTAACATGTGCATCGTGCATGTAATGATTGAGAGTCCTCAGAGATCAGTTATTCAAAGGAGTGCTTAGAACTTCCATTTATATTTCATCTTATTAAAGGAAAAGGGGTTGGGGGCTTCTGTGAGCAGGGTTCAACCAAATGAAGGTGCTAAAAGTCTCTATGCTTTCCAGAAATAAATTAACAGGAGAAAAATATTTAAAAGAATTAGTTCTTTAGATTGTGGCTCTCATAGATTTGGTTCTAAGTACTCATTGGTTATTGATCCTTTTCCTTCCAGGAGATCTACTGCTTTCCTGTTTGCTTCATTTGGTGTCCTGAGTTTGATGTGGCTTCTGCCTGCTGGATGCCCATAGTTTATCAGACCTGGGTCCTCTAGTTCTCAATGGGCTTTAGCTCAAAATAATGCATATGCCAAAGACTCTTGCTGTGGAGTGGCACATGCTGGTAGCCCTCAAGTTGTAATAAATTTTCCTCCTTTTAATCTGCCTGTTTTGTTGATGAATTCACAGAGCATAACCACTCAGATCTAAGTTGTAAATAAGCAAAATTTGCTTCCAAGACCTTCAATATTACCAAATGTTTTAGTCAGCATCTTTGCTGCCATGACTAAAAGATCCAACCGGTAAACAATTTTAAAGGAGAAAAAGTTAATTTGACTGTTCATGGTTTCAGAGGTCTCCACCCATAGACAGCCAACTCCACTCCTTAGGGCTCGAGTTGAGATCAGGGTGGAAGAGTGTGGCAGAGGGAAGCAGCTCATATGATGATCAGAAAGCATAAAGAGAGGCACTCCACTCCCCAGATACAAAATATATACCCCATAGCCACGCCCACAATGAACCACTTTCTCCAGCCACAACCCACCTGCCTCCAGTCACCACTCAATTAATCCCATCAAGGATTAATTCACTGATAGTAGAACTAAGTCTATTACCCAGTCATTTCTCCTCCAAACCTTCTTATATTGTCTCACACGTGGGCTTTTTGGGGACACCGCACATCCAAACCATAACACCAAGTCACTGAATGAACCCAGCTCAATGCTCATTTCCAGGAAAACAAATGCTAATTTATTGAAACCCCTATTTTGTAGAGTTTTCTATAATTTAAACCAGGAAGTACAGCTAATTAATTCACTTAGTTCATTCTTGTGACACAAGGGAAGGACACAAGGTAATTAGGGGCCAGGGGCCAATGGCTCTCTCCCCAAGTGGCTCTGGCTGGAATGACTTCTTAAAGGATCCCTGAGCATGACCTCGCTCACCAGAACAAATACAAGACCCCAAATGTAGCATGGAAAGTCATTGCTGTGACACTTGAACCCAGGGAGAACCACAAACATCTGATGAGACTGATGTATGATAACTCCTCCTAAACCTAGGCAAACCTGCTTCTCCCATTCTTTCCTTGAATGAGCAGCCCATGGCAATTCTAGATTAATCTGGCAAAATGATCAAGGAAAAAAAGTCTTAACACTGACATGGTTTTCAAAAACTCCTTCATTTAATTATTCATCTTAGGAAAGAAAATGTTCAGATATGAAAAAACATGAAACCTACATGTTTTCATAATTAAGTGACAGCAGTCTCTTCCCCAAAGTCCTGTGTATGCAATGGGAGAGGGGAGGGGGGCGGAGTCAGAGCTAGGGGAGGAGGAGGCAAAGGGAGAAATGAGAGGGAGTACTGGGCTGAATGTATGTTTCCCACATTGTCAGCAGTAAAGGGTGGGAGTGAGCTGACTTCCCAGTAAGTGGGCGGCAAAAGGTAGGATGAAAGAATGGAAACCAAAGAGCACCACACCCAGACCTGTATCTGAGTGGGCAGGGTTCGTGAACTTTGAGAAATTAAATGGGAACTCGAACTATAAAGCCCAAACCTTTCAATTAACCTGGCAGTTGGCAAGACTTGAAAAGAATATTTTCATATCTTAAAAGCAGAGTGGAAAGTATTTGAATCTCCAAATCTTCATGCACACAATAAAAGGACAGGCATAAGTGGGCTCTAAGATTCTCTCAGCTTCAAGATCTTATAAGTTCTATGATTTGTCTTCCCAAGAGGATCTTGGCCATAGCTTTCAAGTTAAATCTGTATTTCTTCCTCCAGCCTTTTTCTAGTTTGGGAAAGGGAGCATTTGAGTGGGAAATGAAATTCTTCCATTATCTCCCAGTAAATGGCTGCACATTTACTTCTAGCCCAATAACTGAGCCTCATAAATCAACAGGTCCAGCATTCATTGTGTGATTTTTTTTTTAAATTTCTAAACACACACTGAATCAGGTACTGAGGTTGCATTTGGGATCCAAAGAGAGATAAGACACAACATGTAGTTATTCACTCTTTGGCCAAAGCCAAAAGTTTTTCCAAAGTCCATTCCAAATAATTCTCAGCCCTTGGATCAGTGTCAGCTTCTCACAAATTTCCCAATCTAAGGTACTGTTTTAGTCAACTTTTTTTGCCACTATGACTAAAAGACCCAACCAGAACAACTGTAGAGAAGGAAAGTCTATTTGAGGTCTCATGGTTTCAGAGGTCTCAGTCCATAGACAGGAAGTGGCATTCCTTGAGGCTTGGAATGAGGCCGAACATCATGGCAGAAGCGTGGTGGAGGAAAGCAGCTCACATGATGACCAGAAAGCAGAGAGAGACAGTCCACTATCCAGATACAAGGTATATACCCCATAGTCACACCCCCAGTGAACCACTTCCTCCAGCCACACCTCACCTGTCTCTAGTCCCCACCTGTTAATCCCATCAGGGAGCAATTCACTGATTATGTTAAGGCTATAACCCAGTCATTTCTTCTCCAAACTTCCCTGCATTATCTCACAATTGAGCTTTGTGGGGACAACTCACATCTAACCATAAACAGATGCCCACAGAATATCATTCTTTCTCCCAGATGAATTTCCACTGGTGTGCAAAGTGAGGAAGGAGTTTGCCCATTCCACTGGAGGGAATGATAAGCTCTTGACCCTTGAATTTAGGTGGGAGGTGGGGTGTGGTTAGGGGAGAAACAGCAGAGCTTTTTCTCCAGGTTTTAGTGACTTTTGTTCTAAAGTATCCAAAACTAAAATGAACAGTAACCTCCAAATATAAGTGGGTTACTTTCCTTCCACAGGCAGTGTATATTCTTCCTAGTAACATCACTCTAAGAATTAGTGAGTGGTTATCCCATCACACTGAGAATAACAGGATACATAAACAGCTATTGATAAACAGCCAGAGGAAACAGTGATTCTATTGAATGAGACAGAGGATGATTTCATAGACAATGTGATATTTGACCTGATTTTGAAGGAAGTTTATCAGGCACAGAGGTATGATAAGAGTGGAAATGCCTGGGGTCATATTCCAGGCACAGAGAAAATATGAGCAAGGCACAGAGGCATGAATCATCAGAGATACTGAAGACATTATAAAAAAAAAAAAAAGTCACCATTCCAAAAGCATCTAGAAGATCTTAGACCTTTACCCTCTTCTCCAGTTGCTGTGCTACGAAAAGACTTCTGAAAGTACATCATGCTTGGGAAAAAGCAATGGAAGTTTCCATAATGACATCCAGCTAACTTCATAAACATCCTCCTAGTGTTAAAAGAAGCTGTCTAGAGGATAACAGATGTGGAGACAGAAAGGAAGAACAAAGCCGTGTGCAACACTGTTTGTACATTCTATGTCCCAAATGAAAACCATTAAATCAAACCCCGTCTGTCATCCCATAAAGTCTTAAAGTGAGTCATTCCAAATGATTGTGATTTTCCTCAAATCACATTTAAGGGTTTTTCTTTTTTTTTAAGTTATTAAGTGCCTACTATATATTGAGCACAAAATCCTGTGAGGTAAAGTAACTAAGTCCTTTTTCTGAGGTCAAGTAGTCTGCGATGCAGCAATTGGAAGAGATCATGGAACTATAAGACAAATAAAATCTAGGTGATAAGAAATGATGTCTAAATAGAGGATTCAGTGAAGGCTTCCTGAAGGAGTGGAAACTGGGATATGAAGGCTGCAGTTTGGCAGGTAAAAATGCCAGGGAAAGTCAATTCAAGCAGAAGGGTTAGTATAAGGTAGGAAAACCTAGGCATGTATAAATTAGTCAATTAAGCTTTCTGAAGTGATGAAACTATTCGTCATCTGTGCAGTCCAATATAGTATAAAGTTGTATGAGGCTACTGAGTACTTGAAATGTGGATAGGATAGTTGAAGAACTTGACTTAATTGCATATGATTTCATTTGATTTAGATTTAAATGGCTACCGTGGAAATAAACAAAGAGCAACCAAATGAGAACACGTGAAGGCTATTTACCCAGAATGTGCTATGTCAAGGAGTCACCCCCCACCAGCATTTTTGGTGCTGTGAAATTCCCCTATGAGGGGTTTAATGCACTGATCAGCTAAGGCTCTCATAACCCAATCATTTCACCTCTAAACCTTCTTGCACTGTCTCACACATGAGCTTTTGGAGGACACTTCACATCCAAACCATAACTTTTAGAAGACAATCATATATTTTAAATCAAACAAATTATGTTTCACAGATGGTTTTTAGTGATCGCAATTAAATTAGAACAACTCTGTTCAGCATAAGCAATGACATCAGGTGTCTTTTTCTTCTTTTTAAAGACCTGATTTTGCTCTCTGATCTGCTTGGCCTTTATTAGTTAATCAAAATAAACAAATAGAAACAAGTGTCCTTGGTGACAAGCCCCATTATTAATTAGTAAAATCTTTGTAAGAAGAGGACGCCCACTCTTTTCAAGAGATTGTTAAAAAAGGAAATGTGTTCTGGCTGCACAAAGCAGAAATGCAGTACTCATCAAGGATTTGTGTCAACTAGCATCTCTTCTGGGTGAGTCTAACATGGCGCATAGCAAATTTCTTTTCTCATTTCATTGCTTTCCTTTTTCCTTGGTGCTTTTATTTCAAAAGGTATTCAAAGTCAAATACATCAGTGCCCTAATTAGCTGACACTAAGCAGTGCTAATATTCCCAATGCTAATACCATCCTTTCCATATCTCAAGTGGAAACTGATCAATGGATCATTAGAAAAAAAAACAGACACTGGCTTTAGGCGGATGCTAGCGCCCGAATTCCACCATTGTGTGGCAGATGTGGCACCTAAGACCACAATGCCTGGCCCTACAGGACCTGGTATGCAGGTGGAGGCTGGCACAGAAGGCTTGCACCATGACTTTAGAGAAGCAGAGTATGCCAACAGCTCTATGTTGTACCAGATCAACTCTGTCTGCACCACCTGGAGGAGAAGAACAATCACCTCCATGCTCGCCTCCAGAAGCTGCTGGAGTCCAACTGACAGACATGTCTTGAGTTCCAGCAGCAGCTTGGGGAGGCCCCTGGTGATGCCAGCCTCTAGGCTGAGGTCCCCTACTAGGCCCTAACCCTGCCTCCCTCGGCCACACTCCCCCCTGAGCACTCACAACCTGACTTAGACACCTTATCAAGGCCTGGCCTTTGGGCACCCTGGGGAGTTGGTCTGCCTACCTGGG